CTATCGAGGATCCGTCTGAAGGGACGGCAGAAGCACCCCTGTCTTCTTGCTCCTTTTGGCCGCAGGGAAAGCAGTGATTGGTTGGGCAGGAGGTCCCCGGCGTGAGGCCAGAGGCTCCCAGCGCATCCTGCGTCTTCCCCTTTGCTCTTCGGAGAAATTGTTGAATTTTCACACAATTACGTGTATAACAGTGGCTTGCTGATATAGTCCTTATTGATTCACTCCTGAAGATTTTCTCCAGTGTGGCCAGTTCCGGGGGTAACTCTTCTGTCAGAAAGAACAAGTTTTTAGCAATCAGAGGGAAGTAACAGAACTTCTTGTACCATCTGTGTTTTCTTATTTGTTTGTTTGTTTGGTACAAGGTCTCGCTACACAGCTCAGCCTCCCAGTGAGCCTCCTTTCTCAGCCTCCCCAGCGCTGGGATTACAGGTGTGCACCACCATGCCGAGTTTTGGTGGCTGGCACAGTGAGCCCAGGGTTCTGGGGCTGGTGCAGCGTGAGGGCCTGGAGATCGAACCCAGGTCCCTGTGCTTGCCAGGCAGGTGCTTAGACCACTCAGCCATCTCCCCAGCCCACCATCTGTATTTTTTTCTTATTCTGTTCATACTAGGATGTACTTTTATTTTCTTTAAAGACTCTTACAGATTCATTTTAATAATTTTTTGCTTTTTATTCATATTTTACTCTTCAGAAGTTTTTATATACAAGTATTATAGTATTTTATATATAGGTGTATATTTGATTTTATCTTTAATGCCTCCTTTTTTGCCATACATTTCATTTCATTTGTTTATTTATTTATGGAATTTTTGGGGGCAGAGTTCAGGCTGACCCTGAACTCACTATGTAGCCCAGGCTGAACTCAAACTCACTGTGCTTCTCCTGCCTCAGCCTCCCCACCTCTGGGATTATAAGCATGTACCATCATACCACGCTGTCAAAAATTTCTAGTTTTGCCAAAACTATCTTGCAAGGTTTTGCAAAATTACCTAGGTTTTCTTTCCCGTTCATTATTACTTGTGAAATTGTTTCCTTAACATTGCTTCCCAACAGGCCATCTGGCTCGTTGGGAACAGTGGCTTTTACTGTGTTACTGGACCCTAGCTGGTGTCGGAGACTATGCTGACCTTGAGCTAAGAGCGTAGCATGCACTGTGAGTTTATTCTGTTACTTATGAGCACCCCTTCCACACCCGGGACCGGATGGCCCTGTCCCCCGGTGTCTCACCGTCCAAGGAGCGTGTCACTTGCCGAGGTCCGCACAGGTGACCGGCTCGCCTAGGCCCAGGACGCCTGCAAAGCTGTGAGAGCCCAGAAGTCATTTTCTGCTACCAGAGTCTCAGAAGTTTTCCTAAGAGATTTGAGTGGCATTGGAGTTGAACATGGTGCCTAAACAATAGTTTTAGGAAGAAAAGACAGGAAGAGACAAGTGACTCTCAGGGGCAGCCTTGAAGGACGCGGAGTGGGAAAGGAAGGTAGGGACTGGGCTAGGTAGAGGGTCACCCTGGGGATCCAGGGTCAGATTCCAGATGACAGGGGACAGTGAGCGAGGGGGAGGACCTCGCTCTCTGGCCTTGCGCTTCGTGCTGTGGGTGGGCCCCTGCCAGGCAAGGGCGCCCCCACAGAGAGTCGGGGTGCCTGGGAAGGACAGACTGCAGGCACTGCTGCTGGGAGGAGCATGTAGGTGGAAAGGGTAGGGTGTTTCCAGCGCTAGGTCCCCTGCACACGTCCAGACCTGGCTGACCGGTATAGGACGGGTGCTCTGACCACAGGCAAGAAGTGGGCAAGGACGCTGTGTGCTTCTTCCAGGCTCCAAAGAGAAAGAAAGCTACTTTGCGTTGTGTCTCTGGTTTGTCTGTCTAAGCAGCCATTGATCAGCATTCCTAAGGGGGCAAAGGCCTAGGTTTCATTTTATCTATTTTATTATTATTACTATTATTTAGTGTTTTGAGGCAGAGTCTCTCTGTATAATTCAGGCTGGCCTCGAATTCACAGCGATCTTCCCTCCCGAGTGCTGGCGTTGCAGGTGTGCCCCACCATGCTCGGGCTCCCGTGTCTTTTGAGTGAAATATAGAGAAAGTCATGTCAAATGAAAGGGCCACAGCAGTGAAACACTAATGCTTACGATATCGCTCCCAGCACTCGAGGCAAAAAAAAAAAAATAAAAAACACTCGATGCAAAAAAAAAAAAAAAAAAAAAAAAAATTCCAGGGCTAGTAAAGGAACATGCAGTGAAAAGTGGTTCATTTGATGGTCAGATTCCAGAGCCTTCTTTTGCCCAGCCTGGCTCCAGCCTCTCTGGTTCCTCGAGTGGCCTGGGTGCCCCTGAGCTGAGGGCGAGGAAGGTGGAGGTGTGTGCACTCAACATTGTTCTTATCCTTTAACCTTGTGCTCAAAGTAGTTGCTCCCAGTATTCTAAATGCCTTTATAGTATTAGAATATTGATTTAACCCAACAGTGTCAGTAGGCGAAGCTCAAACTAGAATGCCCAGACTCTTGTTGTTGGTTGTGTTTTATCTTGAACAGGGTCTCACTATAGCATTCAGAACTTGAACTCACTATGTAACCTAGGCTGGCCTTGAACTCGCAGCCATCCTTCTGCCTCAGCCTCCTCGATGCTGGGATTACAGGCAAGCACCATCACACCTGGCCCTATTTTTGAATTTTTTTTTTTTTTAATTTTTGTATGTTTGAGACAGGCTCTTCTGTGCCATGCAGGCTGACCTTGAGGTCACTTTGTAGCCCAGGCTGGTCTCAGACTCGCAATGATCCTTCTGCCTCAGCCTTCCCAGTGCTGGGATTTCAGGCAGGTGTCACCCTGCCTCACAAGATTGCGCAGGTTCTAAATCACGCATACCGAACCAGTTCTCCGAGTCCTGAGTGGCGGGGAAACGCTTCCTGGTGCACTAGCAGTTGCTGAGAAGTTGAGGTAGGTTCTGTCCTGCAATCCACTAATTCGATGTTTAATGAGGAGACATCAGTCTGCGGAAAGATAGTCAATATAAATCAGTGTTCACAAAGTGTGATTAGCTCTGAGATATTTCATCCGTGCTGCAGTCCGGGGCGGCCTCCGGGCTAATGACGGGGACCTGCCGGGTTCCAGGGGCTGGGACGGACTCCGGGCATGGTAGAGTGGAGCAGCAGCATCGCAATTATGCCGGGCCCGTCTCCAGTGACGGTTTATGCATTTGGTGTGATGACCTCCCTCGTCCCAGGAGGGCAATAAGCAGAATGCATTTTCATTAAGATACTAATGCACTTAATCACCAGGGGGAGGGCTGGGAAGGGGAGGAAGGAGTAGGGGAGAGAGAGGCCGTTTGCACAGGCGGCCCAGAGTGCAGCCCACACCCTTGCACTCTTTGAATGAAAAGTATAAGGTTGCAGTGTTCTTCCGGTTATGTATCTAGCGTTTGAGATCTGTAGGTGTTGCCGGAACTGATGGAAAGTCTAATGTTAAGAATATAGCTTCAAGGCCAGCCAAATAGCTCAGCAGATTAAAGTATCTGCAAGCAGGTGCAGGGGCTGGGGATTCGATCCCCAGGCTTGCTGTGCCAGCCCCGCCCCTGGGGCACGCTGAGATAGCAATTGAGACTGGGCATGATGGCACGTGCCTGTAATCCAAGCTCTTGGGAGGCTGTAAACAGGCGGATCACCTCGAGTCCAATCTAGTAGTAAGACCCTGAACACCCTGTAGACCCTTCCCTAAAAATGCAAAAAAAAAAAAAAAGAATATAACTTCACAGCAGCTTATTATGTGTAACATTTCCAGGGGGCTTGGGTGTTTGGAATTAATGATGAGAATGAGCCACTGACATCAGGCCCAGAGCCACCCTCGTGGCCACTGTCATATCAGAAGCATTTGCCACATGGGACCGCACTGGCAGGTTGCAGACACTCCCGCAGCTCTGGCGGTGGCCTTTCTGTGCATGTCTTCCAGGAGCCTCGAGGGCCCTCGCTAGGCTGCTGATGGTCTTGCACTGCGGGTCTCTAGCACTCTGAGTCACAGAGACAGTCAGCCTTGTGCTCAAAGGGTTTTAGTCACTG